GAATACCAACGTAAAATACAATGGCAGCTCCATGCTGGTATAGTGAGTGTAGAGAACCGGAGACCCTTTTCACTGGAAACGAGGCATTTCATCGTAGTTCTCACGGGTGATTACGCATTTGCATTTTGATTTTTAATCGAGGATAAATGTGGATGTCTATGGGCCACAGAATCCACTTACCATCAGGTGGACTGTGTGCTCGTTTGTCAACCTATTCTATAAAAAAAGTGGAATAACATGTCTTAAGTACTTTTGGCTTTTGACTGCCGCAAGGATACATAAAACCCAAATTCAATATATTTTGATAGCAATTCCAAGTGTCGATTGATCATGTTCTCGGCGGTGAATGAAAACATCGTGAGGAAACCTGCATATCTGAGAAGGCCCCCAGTTGTGGTCATCCCGCGTTGTGCGGTAAAATTAAAAGTTTTGTACAACCGACTTCAATGTAATTAAAATAAGAACATCATCAATGTATTCGGAGTCAATTATATACGCATTATTAAAGATTCTCAAAAACTACAGGTCAGATCTTAATTAAATTCATATGGGACGAAAAGCACCAGCTTTCGTATAAAAAAAGAATCATCAAAATCGGAAAGTTATAAGGTATAATATATATATACACATAAAACAAAATATATAGTCGAATTGGATACCTCCTCCTTTTTGAAATCGGTAAAAAAGGGACATTTTACTTACTCCATAAACTTGTGTTGTGTATAGTGAGGACATTATTTACCTACATAAATTTTATATGGACAAGTGTCTAGACCAAGAACAATTATTTTAGGTCACAGAGTATTAAGTTACTAGGTGTAGTGGTACTGCTTTTCGGCCGAATCCGCGTGGGATGGTGCTACTCTACCGATATTGGCCGCCAAATGGCAGTGCTTACAGCGATCGGTTCCGGCCTGAAGGTTACAGAGAGCCAGTATTATCCCCTCAACAGTATCTTTCGAAATGACGTCATATCTTATACGTTGCAACCATTGCGGCTTGTATTTACTGCCCGGGAGAAACAGTTCACTTAATTTAGTGTTTTCTTTAAATATATGGGTATAAATATAATGTTGTTACGCGCCTTAGTCAACGGCACTAGCGCCATCTAGTCTCGAACTGAAGAACTAAAAAACTTCTTGAAGTTGAAACTCGAACTCTCGGTACCTTGCGCGTGTTTACTTGTATATTCTGGATATTTCCGTGCTAATTTATACAAATAGGCGCTGCAAGATGCGATCAGGGAAGTATTGAAGTTGGCGAGACAAGCGAAGCTTCGGAGCGGAATAAAGTGAATCAGTGTGATTAATTATTAGTGTTTTTAACTTTAATTGGTGTAAAGTGAATTAAAGTGTTAATTTAGGTAATTCTATCGGCAATTTTTATTGTCACGAACCTCAAGCTCGTAACAATTGGTGTCAGAAGTGGGATAAAATCATGCCGATTTTTCAGGAAACTGAGGGTGTTCGCACCCGCAGTTAACGCCAGCATGAGACGGACCAGGGGAGATTTGGTGGTGCAACGCCGCAGACGTCGGAGGGCCAACTGCCAGCCACGGAGGCTGCGGGCCCGTCATTAGCTCCTACATCTGCAGCACCTGACTTAGGTGCTCTGATGGCGATGCTACAGGAGCAGCTGAAGCGCGGACGAGAGGAACAGGCCCGTCTGTTGAAAGAGCAGCAGGAGGAACAGGTTCGCCGACAGGAGGAACAGGTCCGTCGGTTGGAAGAGCAGCTGCGGGGCGGACAGGAAGAACAGGCGCGTTGCTTAGAAGCGCAGCTCAAACGCGATAGGGAAGAGCAGATGCTTCTCATGAAGGACCTTCACGCTACCTTCGGGAAAGAGATAAGGGAGGTGAAGGATAAGGTTGCTCAATATGATAACCGCCTGTCGGAAGCCGTGACCCAAATCAACCAAGTTAAGAAAACGATGGATGAACTCAAACTTGGGGATAGAACTACAGCTCCCGTAGTAGCTACCACACCTTCGCTACGTGGGTTCAGGGTGTCACCGTTCGACGGGATTACTTCCTGGTCAGCCTACAAAATCCAGTTCAAGGCTGTTATGAAGGCGAACGGCTGGAATAAAAGTCAGGCCATGACTGCTCTCACACTAGGCCTGCGCGACCAGGCCTTAACAGTTCTGGAAGTTCTCGGTGAGGAAGTGACTTATGAGAAACTCCTTGAGGCATTGGAGGCGAGATATGGCGACGCTCACCTGGAACACGTCTTTCGGGCGCAGCTTAAAGATCGCGTGCAGCGCAGCAACGAAAACCTGCAGCAGTGGGCCCTTGAGGTGGAGAAGATGGTTCGAAAAGTATACCAGTCCGTACCTGCGCTCATTGAAGGGAACCTGGTTCAGACATTCTTCGACGGTATCCGCGACCTTGAAGTCAGAGCTGCTGTGAGACTCAGGCACCACGACACGCTTAAAGACGCCTTGGCCCACGCACTGGAGGTAGAACCCGTGCGGCAGGATCTTCGCTCCCATCGCGTCAGGGAGATTGCAGCAGCTACGGTACGCGACCGCAACAAAGGATACAGCCCTAGGTGCTATGGCTGTGGGGGAAAAGGGCCATCTACGATCCAGCTGCCCTGAGCGAACTGTAGAAAGGAGAGTTGATCGATCTCGAGAGGGTAGTGGAGCTAACGACACCGCCTGGCGGTGGCAGGATTGTCATTCCCCTTGCGCTAGGGAGGTTGCAGCAGTTACGGTTCGCGACCACAATAAAGGATACAGCCCTAGGTGCTACGGCTGTGGGGAAAGGGGCCATCTTCGATCCAACTGCCCTAAGCGAACCCTAGAAAGGGAAGGTGAACGATCTCTGAAGGGAAGTGCGGCTAATATCACCGCCCAGCAGCAACCGGGATACGACTTCACTATCAGACATCGCAGCGGGAAATCTCATGGCAACGCAGATGCATTGTCAAGAAGACCTTGTCCTGAAGATTGGAAACATTGTACTAGGCAAAAGAGTAAGGAAGAGGTATCCGTGAGGATGCTCAGGACAGACCACCTCAGCAACGAGTGGAAGGACAGCCTACGACATGCACAGCAGGAAGATCCGGACATCAAACCGATTCTGGAATGGATGAAGGCCCGTGCTACCAAGCCTAAGTGGAGCGACGTCTCAGCGATGAGTTCGACCACTAGAGGCTATTGGGCCCAGTGGGACGGCTTGCTGATTCAGGATGGAGTCCTGTGCCGTAAATGGGACAATGGTCGAGGAGACAGCTGTCGTTTGCAAATGGTTGTCCCTAAGGCTAAAGTGCCGAATGTTCTACAGCTCTGCCATAATGGTCGTTCAAGAGTCCATCTGGGAGTTAAACGAACTCTACTGAAGGTCCGAGAACAGTTTTACTGGGTCCATTATCGTGACGATGTCGAGGATTGGTGTCGTACATGTAAAAGTAGTGCGGCTGTGATGGGACTTCAGACACGTAGTAGAGGAGCATCGAAATAGTACAATGTTGGTGCACCATGGGATAGGACAGCCCTTGACATTGCGGAGCCGTTACAGAAAGGCGCAAGAGGGACTCCTAAGATCGTCCATGTGGATCGCCTGGCACTTTATTATGGGGCCAATAATACTCGGGACGAGAATGTCTTAGGAGGGGGAAGTGTTATGCGCCTTAGTCGACGGCACTAGCGCCATCTAGTCTCGAACCGAAGAACTAAACTTCTTGAAGTTGAAACTCGAACTCTCGGTACCTTGCGCGTGTTTACTTGAATATTCTGGATATTTCTGTGCTAATTTATATAAATAGGCGCTGCAAGATGCGATCAGGGAAGTATTGAAGTTAGCGAGACAAGCGAAGCTTCGGAGCGGAATAAAGTGAATCAGTGTGATTAATTATTAGTGTTTTTAACTTTAATTGGTGTAAAGTGAATTAAAGTGTTAATTTAGGTAATTCTATCGGCAATTTTTATTGTCACGAACCTCAAGCTCGTAACAATGTTATGATTTATACAACAAAATATAATAAATATTATTTTCTCATCTAAATTTATATATTATTATTTAAATATTAGCGTTAAAAGCGAAGTATAATAGTAATAAATTTTTTTAAATGGCGGAAACGCCGCAATGGATGATAGTTACTGACAATTTTCACTGACAAATTTAACTGTTGAGGGGTTATAACAGGCTGTAAGGCGTTCCATCTATGTCCTCAGAGGTCACAACGTATTTCTAGCCTTCTTTATTAATACAATGTACTTTACACATGGTGACCATGTACCATGCTGATAGGCCCGTCCCAAAAAGGAACAACGCTCGCACAAAGATAGAGATTTACTATAATTACACTGTGGGGCATTTCATCTAAGTCTTCAAGGTGACAACGATTTGTAGCTTTCTTTGTTTGTTTGCTGTTGGTTGCTTGTATTTATGGACTTTCACACTTATACTCAGTGACTAAGCACTACTCTAATAGCATAGTGCCTAAGCAGTCGCTGTAATCTTCCCTGTACGCAAACAACTCAGATTCAATCTCTGCCGGCAACAAAAAAAATTATTGTTAATTGCCATTTTAGCAATGCTGATTTATCACTGTAGTGATCGACAATATATTTAATGACAGACAAAGAAACCTTCATGATGTAGAGGACTCTCATACATTTCATTCACTCATACATTTTTAGGAAAAAAGGAAATCTCCCGGCAAAGATGTTAAGCGCGAGGAGCTGTTATGCTCCGTGTGGTAGAGCAGAGCTATTTTATAAATACCGCAGTACTTTGGAACTTTCATAACGTGATTTAGGCTTCAGTGCGATTCGCTTGTGGCGTGACGACAGCGCCGCTACATCCAGCTGTGGATCGTATATACGTTTTGTCTTTAATTTGTTTACTTCACTTATAAATACTTGTATTGTGCGGTGCAAAACTGTGGTGCAATAATTCCTATTTCGTATAAAGTTCTCTGGAATAGATAGACAAAGACAGGTGTAATTTCCGTTTCGCTGAATTGGTCGTGGAACCTTAAAAAATACTAACTTACCAGATCAGACCGTAGAAGCCGTAGGTGCCCCATATGGAGAGCACATCTACCATGCTGATGTAGATCTTATTGGTGAGAAAACCGAACACGTAGCCCACGGCACTGGCCAACCCGGCGCCTCCCGAGCGCGTCTTAGCACTGAACACCTGCGACACTATTACAGTTATCATATCGCACCATAAATAGTGCGAACAACTAATCATGTGACAGTGGTGTCCATTAATTAAAATCAAGAGTTTTAGTAAAACAAACATTAATAATTAAACTAAATAAGATGCAAATTTAGTTTAATTACTATATACTAAAAAACTTATACGTGATAGAGCCAAGCTGCAGCTATTTTGATAGTAGCATAAATGGGTCGGCTCTACCGAGGAAGCTCCACTCTCTCACAGAATATTAGCGTAAAATAGCTGCTTAATGCTGCTGTGTTTCCTATGGTGAGTTTAGAGAACTGGAGACCCTCATAAATTTAAACGAAAAACATGCGGACCTTGAAATTATACTCATATTTTTTGTAGAATAGGGTGACAAACGAGCACACAGTCTACCTGATGGTAATTGGGTGCTGTGGCCCATAGACATCTACATTTATCATCAAGAATAAAAATGCAGATGCGTTGTCACCCTTCAAACACTGAGATGGAATGTCTCGTTTCCAGTAAAGGGGTCTCTAGTTTTCTACATTCACCACAAGAAACACAGCAGCATTAAGCTGCTATTTCACGTTGGTGTTCTGTAAGAGCGTGGTCCTTTTCCGGTCGAGCCAACCCACACGTGCTACAACCATATTTTATCTACAGCGTGGCTCTACCACGAGAAATATATAATATACCTTATTTATCAAAAGGTTTGAAATATTATAATATTAAAGAAAAATTGCTTAGTAAGGGTTATCATAGATACTACCAAAGAGTACATGTTTGATAATAATCCCTGGGAATGATGATGGTAAAAAAAATTATATTGTAAGTTATGATTTAAAAAAGTCCTGCTGGGTTTCTTGCTGGTTCTTTCCAGGACAGAAGTTTTTTCCGAACCAATGGTAAAAGTAAAAAGTGACTTTAAATAAGTATTACATATAATCTATACTGAATAAAAATGATTCTATTTTATTCTTATTACTGGAAAATAAGCACTTCAGCTTAGTTCTCAAGGGTGATAACATATTTGTATTTTGATTCTTAATCAAGGATAATTATAGATGTCTATGGGATACAGCATCTACTTACCATTAGGTGGACTGTGTGTTTGTTTGTCTCCCTTTTTCTATAAAAAGTTAACAAAAACAGGTAAGATATTTGATATTCTTACAACATTAACTCGGGTAGTAAATTCATCAGTTTCTCGACTCCACGGAGTCAGTAATTCATACATGGGGCAATGTATATGCTCCTCAACAATGTCCCAAAAATATGCAAGGTCTCTCTAGTGTTGTGCGCCTTAATTAATCCTTGGTACATGGCGACACTAGTTACCACTAGTGCCTTCTAGTATTGAGTAGCAAAACTAGGAGAGTCAAGATCCTTCCAGAGATTTTCATGCTAGAACTATCAACACCTAGTCAGTCGGTACCGGTATGTACTCGAACATTCTAGATGTTGCTACAGTTAAATGTTCTGGAACTGTCTGGGCCCTATATAAGGCCGGTATAGACCGCAACCCGAGTCACTATTGAATTGGCAATTCAAGCCAATTCTTCGAAGCGATACCACTGCGAACTAAAGTGATCAGTAGTGCAATTGTGTTTTGTAATTAAAGAGTCAATTTTGGTAATTTTGCAGTTTTTATTGTCTCGAACCCCAAACTCGTATCACTGTTATTTAGTTTAATTTTTTAATTAAACAAAAACTATACAGAAAAGATAATTATATTAAAGTTAAAAAAATAAATAACAATCCCTGGGAATGAGGTGATCGCTTCCAAACTGTTTCTTAAATAAGTTTGGTTTGTAGTTTGTACGTGTTCTTATTGTATAATATAGGTACTTTAAAAAAGCCCCGCTGACTGGTTCTTCCCAGGACAGAGGTTTCTTCCGAAACAACGGTAAAAGTAAAAAGACTTCCAATAAGAATTGCTATTTATGTATATTGCTATATGGAATAAAAAATTGACGATTTAAAATATTCTGTGGATACAACAATTTTATAATTTTCGACTAAGGCCCCCCACTAAATGGAAAAACGCCCCGGTCAGACACGCAGAAAATCGATGGATGCAGGTGGCTCAGGACCGTGCTTTGTGGCATTCCTCGGGGGAGGCCGATGTTCAGCAGTGGACTTGTGATGAGCTGTAATGATGATGATGATAATGACGATGATTGAAGGTAAAGCTAAAAAGAAAATATTTCACTAGTTAGGACTCCTATTCTACTCAAGATGTAATAGGCACCACCATCCTATTACCTCTGATTACTGTCGTAAAATAGCAGTGTGTGTACTGATGTATTCCGGTCTGAAGGGTTTAGACAGCCAGGATAAGTAGAGAAACTTTCCATCTTATTCCTCCAACCACAACGCATCTGTAGTCATCTTTGCGTGAAGTTGGCTCTAAGTCCGTGACTGAGAGTAAACAAGGACTGCAGTGGACATTTACCAAAAGGTGGACTGTAACTTAGTCACTTCACTTTTATACTGGACGACTTTTTTTACCATCTGGAAAAACAGTGTAACATGTGAACGGAGTAGAAGCCTATGCCACTGATATTTTACAAAAAATAAAAGCAAAAATTTTGAATTAATTAATTTAAAAGCTCACAGGCTGAATGGCAAAAGGCAAAGTAATAGTTAAAAAAAATTTCAAATGTTTAATTCAAAAATTATGTTTTTGTTTTTCGTAAAATATCACTGCCATAGGCTTTTAATCCGTTCACATGATACACACAATTTTTTTAAAACGGTAAAAAAAGTTATCTAGTATAAAAAATAAATCATCGTGAGGTTCTCTTTTTAAATTCCGTAGTATTGATAAAACAAATTATTCCATACCTCTCCAATAAGGATCCAAGGTAGCAGCCTGATGCCGGTGTGCGTGATAAACGCCAGTAGCATCAACAAGGATGTCGGGATCCAGGAGTACGGGTTATTCTGTGGTTGGGTAATTTTATAATTAATAACGAGTACTTTGTTACAAGCTCAAGGAGCCGATAAGCGATGGAGAAGAAAGGACTTTAAAACCTTGTACTGGCAAGCGTATTGCTAGCCGCTCTCCACTAGATGGAGTGACGACCGTCTAGTGGCGACATAAGATAATCCACTGCCATATATCATCCCGTGGGTGTCGTATGAGGTAACAGAGAGAAACTGAAACGAGAGATGTGACTGGCCCTATACTATATCCCTAATACCTGAAATAATAAAAAAGCGATTTTCAACCCACCTGGCTAAGCGTGTTATCTATGTGTAATAACCCCCCTAAGAGGCAATCTATGGAAGAGCCCATGTTTAGCAGTATACTTCGAATAGGCTGTTATGATTGTAGGAATGAATGGGATACCTGTGCCGTGGACTTGTGACTTGCTAACGCTTTTTTATAGGATAGTGTGACAAACGAGCTCACAGTCCATCTGATGGTAAGTGGTTGCTACGGCCCATAGACGTCTACATCTGTCCTCGATAACAAAAAATAAAATGCAGATGCGTTGTCACCAGTGAGGACTAAGATGGAATGCCTCGTTTCCAGTAAAAAGGATGTCCGGTTCTCTACACTCAACATACGAAACACAGCAGCATTACGCTACTATTTTACGCTGATATTATGTAAGAGCGTGATCCTTCCCCGGTCGAGCCGACCCATTCATGCTACAACTATACTACTAATATAACTGCAGCATGGCTCTACCTTGTATAATGATGATTACCACAATGATAATGACTACTTATATTACACCAATTAATCAGATTTGGAATGATTATTGACCATTAAATTTGTTCAATCTTGGTCTACACTAGTGACCACTTATCTACGGCCTTCTTAGTGCTGGCTACAGGGGCCATGGGCGTTTGTCTTTCTGATTTAGTAAAAAAAGGAAAAGGAAAATAATTATTTTCCTCATTCGTCAAAAAAGCACTCCTTGGTACGTTTTTCTATGTTTATTTCTTTAAAGGAGAATGGGACAAACGACCATATTGCTCACCCGATGGTAAGTGGTTACCGCCGTCAATGAACAACAGCAACAGCAAGGGAATTGCAGATGTATTGCCCTAAGTCGCATCGGTCCCGACAAATCTCTGGTGGTACGCGATTCCACAAGGAAGTTGTGCGAGAAAGAAAACTTCTTTTAAATCGCATAGTGAACCACTGATCATCCAGATGGTATGGATGGTATCGCCAGTTTTGTCGCGATGTGCGATGGTGAAATCGTGCGGTTGAAATTACTCCGATCAGTTTCTCACAGCAATCCCCGTGGTAAATGCGATAAAATACGCAAAGAGCAATATCTCTTCGCAGTGCCAGTGAGTCAAGCCGATCGGAAAGAGCTCGGTCGCTGACGATGCGAACCGCTCTGAATTGGATGCGGTCAAGCGGAATGAGCTGGCACTGAGGTGCCTCGGCCCAAGGATGTGAACAGTATTCCACGTGAGACTGAACCTGCGCCTTGTAAAGTTACAAGCGGTGTGAAATATTGTTATCGTTACAGTCTATTACGAGTGAAGCCCACTGCTGGACATAGGACTCTCTATAGATTGGCAATAGTTGCCACGCTTGGCAAGTGGGTTGGCAACAGCAGTTTTGCGTTTTTATTTTTTATTAGGAAGACGCTGCTGCCCATCTCCTGATTTGTTTCCCGATGTCGCCTCTTACGACACCCACGTAAAAACTAACTAATACTTGGCGTCTCATTTAATGTTAGGTGCCTATAGTATTTGGTAGTGTTCGTGGTCGTAACAGTCGTAAATGTTCTCATCTTTAATAGAAAATGAGGAAAATAATTAGATGTTGTAACTTAATAACTACTCGGAAATCAATAAAAAGAAGTGGAAATAGTAGTTTCAGTTTGAGACATCTGATTTTCAGCACTCCATGGGTTGACTGGTAAAGAATGCCTGGAGACATTAAGTCCGACCCTTCTATTATTTCGTTCTAGAGAATGCAATAAAGAAAAACTAAATCTAAATAGGAAGGTACGTGAGCGTAATATGATCACCCTAAGCTTTGCCGCGCTATAAAACCAAAATTAGGAGGACTATAGAAACAAAAAAAAAACACAAAATAGTATTAGTATACGTCTATATTATTATAAGTCTATACTATTAGTATAAGTTATAGTTAACTAACATATTAATAAAAAAATAGCAAACAAGCTTTGGCAAAAGTTAAAAACACTTCGAAAAATGGTCTTAATAAAAACTAACTACACTACACAATAGTAAAATCTACTAAAATATATAATAATAATAAATAACTGTTAAAATTGCGTCGATAAAGCAGCGCCCTTTTGACCCTTTATTATTTGATTGACTAATGAAGAGCTACCGTATCACAGAGCTATCTATGGAAACAAGGCTGTAGTTTTTGAGGTATAAGAAAGTGACCATATTAACCAGGCGACCATGTTACCCTCACGTACCTTAGTATAGTAGTTTCATACAAAGAGCGCTCTTACCACAGTGTCAGGGGTAGCTGGGTCATCTAACAGCGTCCGGTTCTCTTCTAAGCTCCCGTTCACCAGCAGCGCTTGGTGCGGCCTGGCGTGCTGCAGTGGGTATGAATATTAGTAGAGAGGATTATAGTATAGTTGAGTTACTTATTTATTTAAGATCACAGACATGATAAGTACCATAACATTCTATAGATGTATTAACAGATTTTACTTACGACTAAGTACACATTAACAAGCTACAGGTAACCACAGAATGCAATGCACAGTAATAAAATTAATGAACAAGAGTGAGACAAAACAGTTTTGTGTTGAGATTTGATACGACAGAACTATTTGCCTCAGTGCCAGTCGAGTTAAAATCTCAAACCGAAAAGAGTTCGTTATTCTACAAATGGTTATTCCATCTCGAGATCTTTGTATATGCGTATATGCTAAGTTCTATTAATTCTATGTTCTAGTAATGTTTATAAACGCAAAGTTTGAAAACTTTATTAAACTAAGTTTGTATAAAAAGGGGTTATAATATTAAGGAATGTATGAATAATAATACCCCCGGGGAAGGGTGATCGCTATCAAGTTATTTCTTATTTATTTTGTGTTGTTAATTGTAACTTATATGATTGTAAGCTGTTATTTAAAAAAAATGGTCCCGCTGATTCCTTGGTGGTTCTTCCCAGGACAGAAGTTCTTTTCGAACCAGTGGTAAATTAAAAAAAATTGACTTACAATAAGTATTAATTATATTATATATTGAATAAAAAGTTTCTGTTTCGTAATTAATGGCTCCATGATACATTTTAGTTTTGATTTTTGATGACGCCTTCACCGTCGTTGTAGAAGACTGACGACACATCGAAAACGCTATCGCCATACTGATCCGAGTGAATACATAAATTTCTATAAAAACTTGAAGAAACGCCGTCATAAGGTATAAAATTGCGTAGCGCCCGCGACGATTAAAAGCGCTTAGAAATTGTCAGAATCTTAAAATATTTAAAAAAAATTATTGATTTAAGTTATCAAAATAATGAGCAAGTAAATTATGAATATTGATGTTATGAATATATTTGAGTGATTCCCAAGCATATAGATCGAATGATTTCGTTGTAATTTCAACTATAGTGATTTTTTAGAGGTGTTTTCGCAAATAATTATGATCGAGTCAAAATTATACAATCGTGTTTTTGAGCAATTCGTTAGTGATGTCATAGGCCTATACTATTCAGTTCAGTTTTTTCACGGTGTCGCCCACAGGTTACCTCATGGGGTAGTGGATATTCTCACGCTTATGTTTACACTACACATTTAAATATAATCCCTCGTAACATAAACTAGGCTAGACTCGAACTCAAGTCAAGTACTCGAAATGTCGGGAATATAAAATAAGTTAATATGAGCGATAAAATGTCATTGCTAGGAACTTTTATTGTCACGCTTGAATGAATGGATTGATTGTGTTTTACTGCGTACCAGACTTATGCACTTTTCTCTGACTTATGCACTGGATTGCACGGACTCCTAGTCAGAAAAAAGTCTTAGTGAATTTTGACGGCTCCGTGGCGCAGTGGCTTAACAATGAGTATTTGAATGGCCTACAAATAATTTTTCCGGGTTTGGATGTTTGTCCTTGTGCAATTTATGTATACAAACTGCCTCCACGATACAGTAGAAAATCCTAGTGTGGGGATAACGTTTTTTTTTAAAAAAGAAAAGAGAGAATGCTGTGTTTAGACTCCTACTACCTTGATTAAGATTGAAATGAAGATACGTTGTCACCCCTATGGACTAAGATGGTATGTCTCGTTTGTCAGTAAAAGGTCTTTATACAGCAACGCAAATTTGTGTCGATGAATGATGGACACAAATTGAAAATCTAAGAAAGAAAATATGTTCCAGAATTTCTGATAAATAATGTAATTTACAATTTTTAATAACCTTTTTTCATTAGTATGACTTACACCAGGTCTGTAAGTAGATGCTTAACCAATAGTTAAACATCTACTTACATACCTGCCTCTAGATAAATGAAGCATGAATTTTCTAACAACGAGATTTATCATGCGTATTAAAGTTATGGAGTTCCAAAAAGGAGATGTTTGCTTTTTTTTTTCACAAGATATCCCAGCAGTAGTCTTGAAGCGCGACGTAATTTTTTCCCGGTAAAAAATTGTCATTTTAAAGCCCAATTTAGAATAAAAAATTAAACTTTCGAATTAATCTTTCATCGAATAAAAAATTTACCCGATTTTATCGCGTAAAATGAGTTTTAATCAATTTCGACTTTGACTTTAAGCCGTGCCAGTTTCATTACAAACTAAACGGAATAAAATCCGTATTGTTGGTTTTAATCAATGTCGAATTTGACTTTGAGACGTACCAGTTTCATGTGCAAGTCGTAGGCGGC